GAGTCAATACCAGCCTGGCCAACATGGCGAAACCTCATCTCTATTAAAAATACAAAAATTAGTCAAACATTGTGGCGCATGCCTGTAATCCCAGCTACTTGGGAGGCTAAGGCAGGACAATCACTTGAACCCAGGAGGCGGAGGTTGCAGTGAGCCAAGATCACACAACTGTACTCTAGCCTGGGTGACAGAGTGAGACTCTGTCTCAAAACATAATAATAATAAAGATAATGATACTGTGGTGGCACATGCCTATAGTCCCACCTACTTGGGAGGCTGAGGTAGGGGCATCACTTGAGGCAAGGGTTGGGAAGGGCACAGCCTGCAAGATTGTGCCCCTGCACTCCAGCCTGGGTGACAGAGTGAGATCCCATCTCAAAATAAATAAATAAAATTAATAATAATATAAACACACCAGACTTTACGAATAAAGGCCACACATAGTTTAGCTATGTGCTCTATGTGCTGAATCCCAGGTTTTATATTAAAAGGAGTCAAAATACACTATTTTACCCTATGTTTTTTAATTAATTACAGAAATATAATACAAGTAAAAAAGTTTTGGAGGTCAGATCATCATGAATAGTGACTTTTATTATCTTTATTATTAAACATATATCTTTATTCAAACAAAACTGTACCCGAAGCCTAATAAGAAAGACTGGCAAAGGCAAGGCCACCGATCTCCACCTTGCTGTGTCACAGAAGCCCCGGAAGATTCAGGACCCTAAAGAGTCAGTTTAACGACCACATTAGCACAAGTAAGGATCAAATCTATACCTTCCAAATCACCAGGGAAATGTGCTAGCAAATGTTATTCATAAATCAGTAACGTCTATGTATATATTCATTTGTGTATATACACATCTACTACAAACAGCTCAAAAAAATTACTGAAAGAAAATGTACCAAATGTTTAATCCCAATTAATGGAATTATGAATGAAATATATTTTTCTGTATTTTGTAAAGAGCATGCATAACATTTTTTTTTTTAATAAGGCAGGGTCTTGCTCTGCTGCCCAGGCTGGAGTGCAATGGCACGATCTTGGCTTACTGAAGCCTAGAACTCCTGGGCTCAAGCATCTTCCCACCTCAGACTCCCAGTAGCTGGGACCACAGGCACACCACCATGCCTGGCAAATCTGGTATTATTTTGTAGAGACAGGGTCTTGCTGTGTTCCGTGCTGGTCTTGAACCCCTGGTCTCAAGCAATCCTCCCGCCTCAGCCTCCCAGAGTGGCAGGTATGAGCCACCAGGCTTTCTACTTTCTTTTTCTTGAGACTGAGTATCGCTCTGTTGCCTAGGTTGGAGTGCAGTGGTGTGAACTTGGCTCACTGCAACCTTCACCTCCCAGGTTCAAGTGATTCTCCTGCCTCAGCCTCCCAAGTAGCTGGGACTACAGACGCTTGCCACCACACAAGGATAATTTTTGTATTTTTTGAGTAGAGACAGGGTTTCGTTTCACTACGTTGGTCGGATTGGTCTCAAACTCCTGACCTCAAGTGATCCACCTGCCTCGGTCTTCCAAAGTGCTGGGATTACACGTGTGAGCCACCATGCCTGGCCCTTTTTACTTTTTTAAAAGTGTCAGTCATGCCAAGTTGCATATTCAAAATATATTTATAAAATATTATGGTATGCTTCCTAGTGGTCTCTATTTAATTCCAGATGAAGCATTTTAAAGGTTTCTTTTGTAAGTATAAAAAAGTTTGGGTGAATAGGTTATAAAAGGTACAAAAGGCAAAATGGGCAAAAAGTCCTTTTGAAATAGCTTATAAAATTCAACAATATTAAAATAACTTCTCTGGAATGGGGAAACAACACTTTATACTTATTTCCACAGTTCTAGATGAAATGTAACACTCCACCTATTTCTTCAGTATAAATTCAATCACTAAAATACTACATTATAAGATTTCCAATTTAAAGGTAGTATTTAGAATGAAGGAATTGGTTCCTACTAAGATTCCCTCAGTTAAAAAAAAATACCCAAATGTTTATTATTTCACTTTGTTATTTGGCTACAGTAATTACTCCTATGATATGTACATAATCCAAATATACATAACAAATGGTGCTTGCTATAAAATCTCTTACCACATTTTAATACTTACTCTTAATAAATCATCTATTCTTCCCTCCTTCTTCTCTAAGTCAGAATTCTTACTGTTTTCTAGTGCAGATATTTTTTCTATTGTGAGGTCAGACTACAGAGACAAAGGTAAAACAAATTTAGGATTAGTCTCAACATGTTAGATGTCATCACACTCTTCTCATTACCTTTTTAGGGGCAAAAAAAAGCACTTGCTCACACAAATGGCCTAGAATCACGTGGCTCAAGAAATGAAATCTGCTCGTTTCATCTCAGTCTTCAAGCCCTCTGCTGGGTTCCATATATCCCACTACACCAACATTTCAAACCCATGTTAATTCTGGAATCAAATGTATGAATTCTCACTATTGTGCACTTAAAAATGTAGAAACACATTACTCCAGAAAACTAACTTTGAATAGAAAAGGATCTCATAGGAGACTTGACCCAAATCTCTAAGGAACAAATGTGCCCTCTGGTGGAAACAGAGAGCAATCAGAAGGGGAGAGAAGAAGCTACCTAAGTGTTCATCTAATTGAAAAGCACAAAAGCTGATGATTCAGATAAAATTCAAATGTGTTCCAGGGAGTTGTACGGCTCTTGATATTTAAGAAATTCTCTTAGATTGCCAAGCATCCTGTCTTGAAGGCAACATAGATAGTGTCAAAAGAGGCTTCAAGAAAACCCAGTATGCTCAACACTACAAAATGGAAGCTGTAGCCACCATACTTTGCAGATACAATCCTCAAATGTTTAGAACACTCCCTAAATTAAAAAGAGTTCTGAACACAATTTAAGGAGCAAACCATGTTGACATATCACATCTGAGAGAAGTTTAGCTAGGTATAAATAAGTAAGCAGGCATAAGGAATACATCAACTATTTTCATAAATTAGAGAATTAAAACTTACTGAAAGCCTATTAATAAACATTTCATATAAACTGTCTGAGGATCATGAGAATCAAAGACACTGACACAGATGATTTGTACTGAGGGAAACTGAGGCCTAGAAAGATTAAACTATAAGCACCGCAGTGCCAGAATCTGAACTTAGGCTTTCAAAGTGTATGTACTTTTCTTCTGTGGAATACTGTTAAAAAAAAAAAAAAAAAAAAAGTGTGCACTTTCCTTAATACCACGCGTTAGCATAAGCATTGCTGCTACAAAACACCAGAAGAGTGAAGAAAAGCCTCAAAAAGTTACCTTCCAAAGGACTTTAAATACCCATAATGCAATTTCTGAATATCATACACACAACTGAGGTATGGTCAGAGAAATACAGAAAAGACAAACTATCATAGACTACATGGGTTAGCACTTATTCCTAAGCAGCAAGTATGCCCCTCGACTGATTATCAATCACCAACCTACCTGGGTCTGTCTGTGCTGGATGGAGATCTGTTTTTGGGAGCTGCAGGAATGCTCTGTGTTGCCAGATCCCGTAGATGAGGGACTGTTTTGCTGAGCCTACAATAAAGGTGCATTACCAATCACAGGAAAGTTTGGCATCTTTTTCCACAAACATTTATATTAATGCAAACAACTCCATAATATCTATCTCCACAATAAAAACCCTTATAAAGTCAGAAGTCAGGGCTATGTGGCCAAGAAGAAAGCCAAACAGTTCAAATATGAGACAAAGGAGCAGACATGGTGGTTTATACCAAGTTCCTGTAAACAGGTTTAAAGTATCATATGCTTACAAACGAATTTTTAAAATATGAAAATTAGAGAAAATGAAAAGTTATTCCTGCAATAACTTGTCTTTTTCACTTGTATTTCACAAGCTTTTGTTCAGAAAAGGCTAGTGAAGCATCCGATGCACAGGGGACGCACGTGAAGGACTGTGAACTACTATTCTGAATAGTGTCCTAAACACACAAACGTTATCCATGACACACAGCAGTCTAAAAATCCAGTTTGATATCTAATACTGCCACTTGCTGATTGGGCATTCTAAGGTATTTTTAAATTTTTATGGTTTAGGTTTATATTATATTATATTCTGAATAGAACTTTTTTAAACAAGGTAAAACTGCAGCTAACAAAGTATGACTCATCACAGACATAAGTAGAAAATATTGAATATTCTGAGAATCATGGAATAATGAGAATACACTGTCTCATCAGAGAATGCAGTGTTTCCACATATGTGAATTTTTCCTGATAGTTTCTACATATTCCTTTATTGTTCTTACTCATTAATATATCAACAATGGTATAACCACCATCTATTGAAAAACTTACTGTAACCTAAATGCTTCATTGTCACATGTAATCCTTACAAAATCCTATAAGGAGGCTGGAGTGGGGTGGCTCACGCTTATAATCCCAGCACTTTAGGAGGCTGAACTGGGTGGATCACTTGGGGCAAGGAGTTTGAGACCGGCCTGGCCAACATAGCAAAACTTCATCTTACTAAAATTACAAAAATTACGCCGGGCGCGGTGGCTCAAGCCTGTAATCTCAGCACTTTGGGAGGCCGAGGCGGGTGGATCACGAGGTCAAGAGATCGAGACCATCCTGGTCAACATGGTGAAACCCCGTCTCTACTGAAAATACNTACAAAAATTACTTGGGCATGGTGGTACATGCCTGTAGTCCCAGCTACTCAGGAGGCTGAAGCAGGAGAATTGCTTGAGTCTGGGGCGCAGAGATGGCAATGAGACGAGATCACGCCACTGCACTCCAGCCTGGGTGACAGAGCAAGACTCTTGTCCTATAAGGTGGTTGCAATTATCAGTTCCATTTTACAGATAAATAAAATAAAATAAAAATCAAAGATATTAAGTACCTATGTGGGTTCACTGAGCTAGTAACTGGGGAACCAGAATTGGGGGTTGTGTCCACAATAACTGCTCTCAATGACCAGACTGTTACCAGGAGTCTGTGAGCAAACTAAGCACTTCCTACACACGATTTCACGGAAGGTTCACAACAGCCTTATCAGATAGGCAGCATTATTAATGCCATTTCAATGTATCCATTCAAAGACTATAGTATTCCCTATGTCTAAACACTGTGCTAAAAAGATAAAAAAAGGAAAAACAACAACAAAGAAAATTAAAAAAAAATAAAACACTGTGCTTAGTAAGTGCATGTGGCCAAGAGAAACCACAGACCCAGACCTTACTCTGCCTTAATAATCCTTATAATCGGGCCGGGCGCGGTGGCTCAAGCCTGTAATCCCAGCACTTTGGGAGGCCGAGGTGGGTGGATCACGAGGTCAAAAGATCGAAACCATCCTGGTCAACATGGTGAAACCCCGTCTCTACTAAAAATACAAAAAAAATTAGCTGGGCATGGTGGCGCGTGCCTGTAATCCCAGCTGCTGGGGAGGCTGAGGCAGGAGAATTGCTTGAACCCAGGAAGCGGAGGTTGCGGTGAGCCGAGATCCCGCCATTGCACTCCAGTGTGGGTAACAAGAGCGAAACTTCGTCTCAAAAAAAAAAATAATAATAATAATAATAATGCTTACAATCCAAAGGATTTACTAAACACTTGGTAAATATTTGTTAAAAGAAACTGTTGAATAAACAGTCGTATAATAAATACACAATCACAATTAGGATAAGTGCTAAAAGAGCACATAACAAGGGACATAACCTAATTTAGAAGGTCAGGGATAAACCTTTTAAAAGTTTATCATTTAAGGCCAGGTTAGGTGGCTCATGTCTGTAATTGTAGCACTTTGGGAGGCCCAGGTGGGTGTATTACCTGAGGTCAGGAGTTCAAGATCAGCCTGGCCAACATGGTGAAATCCCATCTCTACTAAAAATACAAAAAATTAGCCAGGTGTAGCGGCACACACCTGTAGTCCCAGCTACAAGGGGGGTGGAGGCAGGAGAATCACCTGGACTCAGAGGTTGCGGTAAGCCAATATCGTGCTACTGGACTCCAACCTGGGCAACAGAGCGAGACTTCATCTCAAAAAAAAAAAAAAATTTATGATTTGAGACCAGGTGCGGTGGCTCACGACTGTAACCCTAGGGCTTTCGAAGGCCAAGGCAGGTGGATTAACTGAGGTCAGGAGTTTGAGACCAGCCTGGCCAACATGGTGAAACCCCATCTCTAGTTTAAAAAAACACAAAAATTAGCTGGGCATGGTGGCGGGCACCTGTAATCCCAGCTACTCAGGAGGCTGAGGCAGGAGAATTGCTTGAACCCAGGAGGCAGAGGTTGCAGTGAGCCGAGATCATGCCATTGTACTCCGGCAAGGG